CACCGTGCTTAAGGCAGCGGCGTGGGCCGAGGGCCTGGGAAAATGGAGGGGGCTGAGGCCGTGTAAGAGCCGTCAGTAGGGGAAACGAGATTTCGGAGAACGCTCTTCTCCCAGCCAGTGTTCTTTTTACTGGAGATTGTCCAGTAGTACTGGAGGTGAAGGAAGGGGGTCTCGTTCAACGGCAGACTCGGTTCTTTGAGCTTATTTGTGAAAGCACTACTCTAAACTCTGCCATGCTCTTTAGCCTGACTTTCGGCGTGTCCGATGCAGTGCTGCGTGTCTCCATGCTGTGGCAGAGATGTTAGAATTGGGAAGATGAATTGTATGGGACTCATACAATATTGAACTCAAGGTTCAATAAGCAGAGCCTTTTCCTTTGGAAATTTTCAGAGTACTATAAAAATACAGTTGCCATGAAAAAGGAATGTAATGAAATAGAAAAGTATATTCTTTTCCATGGGAGAAGGCAAGTAGCAAAGCAGCTCTGAAAATGTAGCACAAGCACTTGATCTGAATGAAAAGAAAGTGCAGCCACAGGGAATTAAGAAGCAATGTGGAAACAGTTGATTTAATTCAAGGATAAGAGATTTTAAAGTAATGTTTTGTTCATATACCGTATTTCCTGGCAAATAGGCTAAGCTCTGCATGAACTGACCTTGGACATTAAAACACAAGAAAACAGCTGATGCTTCCCAGAATTATGTAAACAAAATATTCTTTTTCAGTAGTGCTATTACTTACTTGGATTTGTGGCCACTTACTCACAATTGTGGCTGTTACAGAAGTCATATTTAACTTTATTGAAAGGGATGTATCTTCTACATCTCAGAGCAGAAATGATGACTGTGACACTTCAGTTTGCACTGTCAGGCTTTTAATTAAAAGAGTGTAACTGGTACAGGTCATTGCTATGGATGACTGAATTTGATCCCTTCTGCTTAGAAAGGCAATATTGGGAAATTCTAATATATGTTTGTGAAACCTGTTTTCTTCTTTCTCATCAGTTCTGGGTTACCAAGCAGGTATCTTTTGTTTACTATTTCTAATTTAAAAATTAAAATGGAATATTCTCATCTGCACATATTGATAAGCATTCCCCTTGTGTGCATCCCCACTCTTTTCTTGATAACTTCCGTTGCAGAGCTACAGTAACTTACTAAAGAAGGTTGTTTTTGTTTCTTTTCTTTTTTTCCTGTCAACGTGGAGGTAACAATTAAATACGTAGATGAAAGACTTTGGAAAGGTATACGAAACTTGCATTAATGTGAAACAGTTAACTTCCGTTCTCGTTTTCCATTCAGATGTAATTATCTTTTTGTGTCTTCTGTTACTGTTCTGTAATCAAAGTCCTGGGAGGGAGAGGAAGCAGGGAAAGGAGAGGAGTGAATGGCAGGAGGATGCCAGATTTTTCTTGTCAACTCCGCTCTGCTCTACTATTTCATAACTGGAATTAGAACAAATCCTCAATGCTTAAAGTAGGGTAATATGTCTGTATAAACAGAACACCCTGAAATTTTGAAAACGTGAATAGCAAATGAAACTAGGAGGCATGATTAGGCAATTTTCCTAAAGCTTTGCAGTGCACAGAAACAGGTGCAATTGATCTCTTTGTGTGTGACTTCAGTAAGACAGGTTTGTTAATGGACTTTTTGAAACTTACGCATCCTTTAATATCAATTGAACCAGTACTGGAGGCAAATCTCAGGTTTTTTCTACAAGTGGAAGCATCTTCTGCTTTCTAGAGAGATTAATTTGGTCAGATCTGTGAAAGAGGTATTTGTTTGCTTCATGATACCAAAACTTACAAAACGTGTGTAACTTTTTTTCCCTGATGCATCTGAGAATGGGAAGAGTTTCTACTGCATAAAGTGAAGTTAATGATCTTTTGCAATTAGGTAGCAAAGTAATAATTCATGGCAATTAAATGGGAAGACAGGTGTGCTGTGGTTTTATGTTTCAGAATATAGACCTGTGGTTATAATTTCAAAGTTTAAAATAAGTTTCTGAACAACTTCGTGAATAAGGGCAGATTCTGAAGACAAAAGTTATTTTAAATACTCAGTATCTCAGTTTCTTTCCTGCTACCATAGAAAATGTGGGGAAAGCAACTGAGATCACTGCAGCAGAGTAAGGCAGGCACAATTTAAGGAATACAAACTATTGAAGCAGAGGAACCTGCACTTTCTTGTTCCGTGTTTTATGGAGCAATTTATTTCTGCTAGAGCTTTTTGCCGATGTCTTTGTGGATTCTAGAGGTTGTTTGTAAAATAACACATGAATTTAAGGTGATGAATGCAAACCACACCAATGCCAGGCTTTGTTTGCTTAGCAGTCATGTAGGCTACTGCCCTGTTCTAGCTGAAATCACTTTTAAGATACATGCACTAGTTTTGCTTAGAGTGTTTGTTCATACGATGGCTTAAAATGCTGACTTACATGCTTGGGCAGGAGCGGGGGTTATCTATGCTTGATAACTTTAGGGTTCTGTGCTATAAAACAAATGCAGGATTTTAGGCATTGTATCTAAATTTTTTGACTGTGGGAGTAGAGACTGGTTAAAAATGAGCCCACTCTTACAGAAGGGTAGCAAAAGCAAGTGTGCAGGAATGATGGAGTCGCAGTGGGAACTCAAGAAGTGTCAAGTGAATTCAAACTCGGAAGTGATGTTTCTGATCTGCTAGAAGGAAAGTTAATGGCTTAGGAGAAGCTGCTGTTCGTGATGCCGTTGTATTTTAAGCTCTTTCTGAAAGAGTTATGTATTGTGGGATTTTTAGCTTCCCCACCCCCTTCAAGCTTTTGAGACCTTTTTTTCCCCCCTGTTCATGGGTGAAAGTAGTTTCAAAACGTATCTGTAACTGTTCAGGCCATGGTGGAGATACAGAAAATTCGGAATAGTTGAGAAGACTTCCCTTCCTGTTTACTTGAAGAAACTTATTTTTAGATGGGTTTTTTTCAGAAGTTTCTTAGAAACAATCACTTTTTTCACAGTTGTTTCTCAGTAATATATTCTTCTGCAACTTAACTTGTAAAAATGTCTTTTTGTGTTGAAATGACAAAAACAATATGCAGCTCGTTAATTGGCAGATTTAAGGCTTCAGAAGTAGATAGTTTGAGGGTGCTGATGTACTTTGTTCTATTTATTAGCTGTGTGTGCTGTGAATTGTTAATTAATCCATTTTAGCTTGATAGCAAAATATGTTTTCTTTTATAGAGTGAAGATACGCAGCAGCAAATTATCAGAGAAACTTTCCATTTAGTATCGAAACGTGATGAAAATGTCTGTAATTTCCTAGAAGGAGGATTGTAAGTACCAAATTTGAAATAAATGCCCAATACTTACTGGCTAGCAAATATTATTACTGCTGATTGTAATATAACTGTTTTTACAGTTGTGATGTAAATGCTGTGTCACTTGAGATGTTTTAATACACAACAAATAATAGCATGTTGTTCCAGGTATAGATACTCTTTACTAACTGAAGCGTAGAGAGATATATATATGTATCAAAATGAGTTAGGCAATACAACTGATTTTTTTCTAGTGCACTATCTAGTGCTATAATTGTTTCAGACACAAGATGGGGAAGAAACAGGCAGATGATACCTCAGTTTCCCTGTAATCAAGCTAAAGATTTCTGGTCTCATTTGAAGAGGTGTTGGCATTTGCCATATCCATTGAGAAAATGAAAGTATTTTGTAGCTGGTGCTTTTGCTTGAGCTCCTAAAATTTGAATGGACAGCTTCTAATAATAGGATTCCTCAGCCTTTTTATCAGGGTTCAGGCTTGCTATATAAATTAGGAAGAAAAAAAAAAGGTTTTAAATGTGCTAACTAATGCAGTTTTAGCCAAGATTTTTTTATTAATATAGGTAGAGCAAGGTAGGAGGAAAGCCAGACTTAACGTCTTCTGTCTCTAGAAGACACGCACAAAATATTCTTTCTTGAATCATCTCAGTTGTTTTTTTAATGTGGTCTTGCTTTAGTTGAAGAGAAGAAATTCTGAAATGGACAAGTTTTTTATTTTGAGATATTAGTCATCAAAAGTAAATAGTTACAAGGCCACCTTCTAGGAAAAGGGGTCATAATTGACGGAGTAAGCTTATGATCTCCAATCTAAACATAGAGTTTGCCATAGCATGTTAAATATTGTAATTATGGAAATGTCTGATTACTGAAAGTTAGTATGTTAATGCCTAAATTTTCTGTGTGCAGAGTCAGTTAAATACTTAGCTGTACCGTGTCAGCTATGATGTCTTTTTCCTGATCAAGATGATTCCTGATTTTTTTATAATAGTTGTCTTCCAACTACTGAACTGGTGATTGTATCGTTAGGTTCTTGGAGATGATTTCAAGCTGAAAACATGCTGGCTTGAGTTCTGTAAGTGAAAGACAGAAGCCATTTGGAGCCTTTTAAAAAAATCACAGCTGTGCAACAAAAAGAAACTAAGACAGAGGACACAATTCTGGCTTTCGTCCTACTGCTTAATTCCGGAGTTACCATTTCAAAATATTTTTTCAGGGTTTTTTTTTTTTTCAGGATAGGGATCATTTTATAGTTTACAGTTTACCCAAAGGCCTCAACAGTTCATATGTACTAATTCCGTGTACTGAAGTATTTGAAAGAATTCAGTAAATAAAATGCAAAAGGGGAAACTTTAATTGCCATTTCTTTCCACTTTCACATTTGTTTGTAATATTTTTGTCTGATACTTCCTAAAGGTAGTTCCTGCTCTTCAGGAACAAAGAGTTCCTCCTTCCCCCACCCAAGCATTAATGCAAAGTAATGTGCTTAAGTAAGAGTGACCTAAAAGATTTCTTGTTATTTTTATTTACATATTTTCTCCCTATAAAGGCAGAAACTAAAGGCATGAGTTAAGATACACCAAACAGGTGATTCAGTTCTGGTACAGAATTAAGGGATGTAGATTCAGGCTACAAAATGCTTTAATTTCTATGTGAGTCGGCCTCCTACTGCTCAAAGCAAATGTCGATGATCTGAAGAACATCTCATGATTTATGTACCTTCTTTGGGAAAGCTATAGCAGAAGAGTGGAAGGAAATACCTGTTTAGACCTCTTCTCTTCTTGTTCAGTAACTTGATGATTAGTGAGTCCATAAAAATTCAATAGCTCTGTGACTTTAACATTGCATCACAAACTATTGGTTGTAGTACAGTCTTATTTCTCAAGTTATCAGACATTTTGTAGCACAGGAGTGTTACATGTTCTTGGTTACTAAGTGGACCATAAACCCCATTAAGGCTTTTTCTGTAATCCAAATGCCAGTCTGCATTATAGTTTTCTTTTCCTGTTGATGCTCCTCTGAGAAGGGCAGGGAAGGATTCGTAGGCATGCGCTCTGTTAATCCGTAAAGCAGATAATCTCTGTACAGTGCCCACTAGTGTGTAATGGAAGTACATTTAATACCCATTTTTTAATGAACCTGCATGATCTGTTTGAATTGATTTTAATAAAAAGGTGCATATGTTGATGTAATTCTTATCCATATGTATAATGATAGCTGTGCTTGTGTGGTAAATGTAACTTGGGCTGTCTTGGTACTTAGTATTCTTCCATTATAATTACATCACAAAATAAAAGTTGTGATACAGTTGGATTTGGGAACGTTCCAGCTAGCCATTAACAATAGGCCTCCTATTAACTGCAATAACTGTGAAGATTTGCCCAGCTTATCCTGAGATGCTAACTAAGCTTTCCTGTTTTCTTCTTGTTTAGATTAATAGGTGGATCTGATAACAAACTGATTTACCGACACTATGCCACCTTGTATTTTGTCTTCTGTGTGGATTCTTCAGAAAGTGAGCTTGGTATTTTAGACCTCATACAAGTAAGTTTCTTTGCTGCTGTGTTTTTTTAATAAGTGGAATTCTACTTCTAAGTACCTTAGAACTTCAATATTTAGCTGTGTCTTTTTCTGTAATATTTGGAAGTGAAGGTGGTTTTCATGCTGTGAACACACCCAAAGTGCTGAGTATTACTTTAGATTTTTTGCAGTTTTCTGGACTGTCTTTGAAAAAGTTGTTTCCCAAGTTGATGAGAAAGTAAAGAAACTGTTTGGAACCTACTGAACAATCAGCAGCTATTTTTGCTGCAGCTTTTCAAGGCCTTGTTTTGGCTGCATGTAAAAATGGTGCAGTTCAAGCATTTGCTAGACAAGTTTAGATTATGAGAACCTAGATACATAAAGCTCGCTCTGTGTGTGTGTATAAACACACACAGACAGACACACACATATATATATATAGGTATTCACTACATATATATCTAATGGATTAATACATCCAGAACCTGTTTGGATGAAACTTTCCTTGTGGCTTATGAGCTTTTGGTCAGATACACCTCAGAAGATGAGGGCAAATGCTGTCCTCGGTATGTGTTCTGCACCAGAGGGGTGGGTGGGGAGCGGTGAGGAGAAAGAGAGCCCCCACAGGTTTTTTCTGGATCTCAACAAGAAAGGCTTGACAATAAAATGGCGTAATAGGATAACTGTTTAATAGAACAGAATAAGAAGAGGCATCTAGATAGTAAATCTTACACCCCTTCAGATGCTGGGCATCCCGTATATATAATGAAGCATCCAATGGAACCCAGGTGGATTTTCCCAGGGTGCACGGTGCAGAGCAGATCCTGTCCATGGAGAGAAGCTCTGCCTTTTTGGGACCTTTGAGCTATTATATAATTTCCTCACAAGAAAACAACTCTGTTCCTAAAAGATATTCTCATGAGAACTTCTTGCTGCACTTTGAAATACAGGCAGGGCCACGCAGGTGGCGTAATCACCGGTACCATGTGTGAGCTGCCCACAGGCTCCTCTGTTACAGTGAGCTGGCTGAGTTTATCCTGCAGCCAAGGAATTTGTGCAGCACAGCACAGGCCTGTGCCTACTCAGGTTAAGAGTTATGTGGGTCACTAACTCCTAAACATGCAATGATGTCTTGGTCAGGATCAGTACATTCCACTCCTTGATCCACCTACAGTTTACCTCTCCCATCCAAAAACATTGTAAGTTATAGATTACATTAATAAGATACAGGCTTTTCAAGCCCAGTAGAGCAGACATGGCCTGTTCAAGATCACTAATGCCTCGAATACAATGTCTTCTGCAAGGCTCCCAATACAGCATGTATGATTTAAACTGTTAAATATGTCTGTATCAACTCAGCAACAAAAATCATGTCTGGTAATACGAACACTCTTATGTCAAGAGAACTCTGACTACGCTAGTGATTTTTCAACTTAAGATTTGCGCATAAACAATTTCACTGATGATTGTTAGTGTAGTCAGATGTGGCAAAAAATAGTTTCACACCATGAAGTGATGTATGTCATTACATAAAATAGGTCTCAGATTCAGTTTCTGTTAAGCCTTTCAAAAGCTTGCACATCAAGAGAATTGATTTATTATGTAAGTAAAATCTGTGGTATCCTGAGACATGGGCCTGTATCTATTGATTATTTCACTGCAGAAAGCGCTGTGAGCCTTAAAGGCCTCACAGTTCCCTGCAGGCCTTTCCTGGAGCTGAATAGCTTCTCAGAGTCACCTATTAGTGTTCAGAACAGCTCTTCAGTGTTTAGTGCTCTTCTGGACAGTAGGTCCAAATTGTTTTTCCGAGTGGTTGTGTGGGTAGCAGGAAGGAAACTCTTTTTCTAGATTCTTGTATCGTCTTTGTCCATAGAAACATTTTGCAATATTTGAACAGAGCAAGTTACTGAGTGAGGTATACAATGGCCTTACCTGTTCTTAGAAGTTTGCTGTACAGAGTTGCTTATTGCATAGTGTGTCTTCGTACTTGAAAGCGCTAAAATATTTATGAAGTGAGAAAAGAAGCATCTCAATATTTCATGTGACTTAGGGGTGTTGTTCAGATAAAGTGGATATTATAGATATCTTATGTTTAATCAGATAATAAGGATAGGAAAGACTATCTAGATCAGTCAATCTGACCAGTCGTATTTTGCAGGGCCTCTATGCAAGTTCAACTAAGGTTTTATTCATTATGGTATATTAAAAGTGTCACATCAGTAGCTTCCAGTTACACAGCGTAACCTAAATTTTACTTTAAGGTGTTGAAGCAAATTGCTTGAGCTTACTACTACCTATATTTGTATAGTCCTCAAACTCTGAATTAGGGAGATCTCAAACTTTTCTCTATTGTGTAGCTTCTCGTGCCAGAAGTACTTTGATGGAATTCAATCTCTCAGTCTTTATATTTCACATCTTTTCTGTTACGCCCCAGTGTTTAATTACATGCCAATATAATTACTTGAAGGAAACAGAAATAATAGAAATGCTATTTCTTTTTATAGAAATACTTTATTCTGACCCGTATGATTTTGTTTATAATACAGTCTCACCACAGTACCTGCAGCTGTTCAGTATTCCCATTTCTCTGGATCATTGTAATTCAACCATTTGGTTATAGTAGAAAGTATACAGAGATTAATTAAACATTTTTAATTTCCAGTCTGGCTCACAGGAAGGATCTGTTTAATTCTCTTAGCAATAGCAATCAGAAGTAAATGTACCTTACGCTGGAAAAGCACCCTCAGAAATCTTATTATTACATCTCAACCCCACATGCAACGCAGACTGGCAGTATATACACCTACACATCTGCTCAAGCAAATAAGCTTTGTCTGGTTTTTGTTGAGAAGTGTTGAACCATTTTCATACATCTTTGTTTACTATAGTTCAGAGACAACACAGGTAAGAGTAAGCTATCTGGAGTTTGTTATGAATCGTACATACACTGAATTGTTTAAATAAGTAGTTACGTAGAGGGCCAGTTTATGATCTCATGAAAATAAACTGGTGAAATGAACCTAGAACTCAGTCTAGCTCTTAAGAGTTTTCTGTCTTGTAAACTGAATAAATCTATGGTAGATTAGATTACATATGGCGGTCTGCAGTTCTTTTCAGCATGAAGTTTTTGGTGTAATACTTAAGATACTGCTGTGAAGGCCACTTACATCACCATTAGGTCAGAGCTGTTTCACAGGTAAGTCTTCTTGGCTCAGGCTTAATGAATGCACTGTATGTGTTACAAATCATAGATGCCGCCTCAGATTTTACGCTGTGTTCAAACCAGATGTGTTTGGACACCTCAGGCAAATTCATACTGTTAATTTTTGTCCATTTTCTTCCTTTTTTTTAATACAAACACAAGATTCTGTTTATTGTTTTTGTTGATTGGATGGGAGATAGGTTAGCATCTATGCTATGCTTGGTAGGTTTTGCAGTCTTTTGGATTCAGTGTAAATTATGTCATGACTTGTAGCTATTTCAGACTCTTCTCATTAGCCTGAGAAGTGTAAGGTTATAGCGTATGGAAATAAAGTACATAAGAAAATATAACTCCTTGTAGACTGCCATGAGGAAAAAATGCGTGACATTTACAATGGTACCTAGCTATCTTATGGACCTAAAAGCTGATGTCAACTCTAAGTATTTTTGAGGATTTTAGCCCATTGCTGTACTTCCAAGACCTGTTGACTCAGTAAGCAGCTGAATCTGTGACATCAGTCTTCCATGAAAAGTTGTATATAGCCTTGCAAGATAATGTTGTTCAGTAAGATGCATGTGGGAAATGCAGTGCAGTGTTCATGGAAGATGTTTTCCTCAGTTCTTAAAAATAAATCATCCTGACGAGATGTTTTTGTGCTAATTAAATAAAAAAGGGAGAGACATATGACTGGGATACCTATTTTGGCAAAAAAATCCCTAACTAGTTTTCAGTTAACACTATTAGTTTATTTTAGAGTTGGGTGGAAAATAAAGGGCAGGAGTTAAGATCAAGAAGAACATTTTGACCTAAAAAGCCTTATTGGTAATGCATTACATCTATTGGTAGGTCTGCTTGAAAGACCGGACACAATTGTGGTTAGACTAATGAGCAGGACTTGTACAGTCTTTCCCTTACATTGTAATCTTGGCATTCTCTGTATAATCTATGAGTAATTTAAAAAAAAAAAAATTATTGAAAGAAAACTGGGATGTCAGTGTAAGTGTGGGAAAACGCAGCGGCTGCTCCAAGGGTTTCCCAATTAGAAAAGCTGTGGAAACACTGTAGTTGATTTCATATGCTTGCAATATTTGAATGATGACTTATTAAAGGTCACTTTTAAAGCAGAAGAGAGACCGGTCTTGTGTGTGGAGAACTGGCTATATGATCAGACTATTATGTTTTAGACTAGTTGGAGTGTCAAGTAGCATTTGAACAGTCAAAAGCAGGGAAGGAGAGGACTCTCAATGGGCAGATTGAATTAATTCTGTCTTAAGGTTTACCATTGCTGTTTAGCCTGGAAGAAGGATGGGATATTCTTGACACAATTACTCCTGTTGTTTTTACTTCATTTTTTGTACGTGCTTTTGTTAGTATTTGACATTATCTAGCATCAAATGCATTTAATTGATAAGGTGTTCTGATTTTGCTGCCTTGTTATTCTCCCAATATTAATGTATGTTTTATTCCTTTGTTGTCTTATTTGCCTAATTGAAAAATGAGTCCTTCATGGTAAAGGTGGTGTTTTATGTTTTGACATATTGCTGAGTATAGGGAGCTACTGGCTTGTATATATCCAATAACAATTTGGTATTTTGATTCATATACTTTACTCTCCAGGTGTGTATCTCGCTTTATTAAAGCATACTTACTACGAAAGAAAGGTGTGGGGTTTTTCCTTTTTTTTTCTTTTTCTTTTTACTTGCATGGAGATGTGCATGGGTTTTTCTTTGAACTGTGAAAGATTATGATTTCAAAAATGAAGCACAAGGGGGAGCTAGTAATTCATTGTCATGCATCCTTATTTTCCTGTTATTTGACTCATTTATTTATGTTTCTTTTCCAATAACACCACAAGGTGCATTTGAACTGATGTGTGGCGTGTGTGCGTGTCCCGAAACAATTGGTGTGTTTTCTCTTCTGCATATTTTGATTTACAAGTCTGAAGTAATTACTGAAGTACTTAAATTCTAGCACTGCTTGCCATAGCGTGCTATTCATTTGACTCTCAACTAAAATTGTGATGAAAGTGGCTCTAATTTTATTTACTGTATTGATTATTGGAAGTCGTCTTAAAATAGGTCAAGGAATGTTAGTGTAAAAAATCTAGTTTACCGTGTAGACTAATGCTTTTAAAAATCAGTTATTCGTAATAGATCTATACCTTGTCAGTGCTGGCATTACCCTGAGTGAACTCTCCATCAAGAATGGAAGATTGAGGAAGTTTCCGGGGTTTCTATGAGAAATCCTTAGCCGGTGCAAAATCTCTTTGAAGAATACTCAGTGCCAGCTGATTTCCCTTAGATTAAAAAATTTGGTGAGCATTACTGGTCACGCATTGCAAGCAGACATCTGTGAGTTCACGCAGTGTGTGGTGGTGTCAGTATGTAATGAGTAAAGGTTTAAAAGTAATCATTGTAACTATGAATCAAGTGTTCTTATAAGAGAAGCCCTAGTTGCTGGGAGGTCACAAAAATAAAACTTCTGTGTTGTCCATGTGTGGGCATACATACTGCTACTAAATACACATATCTGTGGGGGTCTTTTTTGAGGATTTTTGAGATGTTTTTGATTTTAATGTGTTCCTTTGTTTCCCAAGGAATTACATGGATGTGAGAGTATGTAAATTCCTGTGCAAACTCGGTGACGTATATGAGGAATATTTTCTTTTCTTTCAAAAATAGTGTCAAACTGTTAGCTCTTGTAACTAAACCTTTGGATAAAGGTTACGTTTACACTCTATTTCCAATCTTCTTCCTGCAGCTAATATCAAACAGCACTGTCCTTGTAACCACATTCTCCTAAGGTACAAGGAAAGTAAGAGAACATCTCTGGTCATTTGTCTTGCTGCAGTTGTGAACTGTGTAGTTTGTTCTGCTTAACATACAAGTTTTTTTGTTTGCTCACATCCCTTCTTTATAGAAGACTGTTATTATTACAACAAATTAACAACTACTTGAAGAAAAAAAAAGATCTGCTTCGCTTAGCTTCAGTGTAATTTAACAGAAGCATATTCATTTACTTAGTTAACTGTTGTCAGTGAACCTTACTGTCTTGAGTCTGCCTGTGAAAATGCTCTATGTTCCTAGTTTAAGTTATGGATTGGTATTTTGGTATTAAAGAATAATGCTTCTTCTAAATGCATACAACATCAGTTAGATGTAGTTTGACTTTAAAATGGAGATTGATAATAGTAGTAATAGCAACAGCAGTGTGAGATCCTCTTCTCTTTTATAGGGTAAGCAGGATCTGAGACCGGGGGATTCAGATGTAAAAGTAATGTTTCTTGATACGCAAGGTAGATAACTGGAAATGGCTGATATCAAGTAGACCTGTTTCACTGGGTCTGTAGACATAAATATGTATTTATAGAAGCAGGCCTTTTATTAACTTTATTTTTGTTAGCAGAACATGGCTTCTCATTCCTATTTCTCTGGGCCTAGGCAGTCTGAAATCTGGTTCCTCTCAAGGACTAAGATAGGATTAATAAACCATGTTGAAAAGAGAGAGAATCAAAACCAGGTGTTTAACTTCTTCCATATTGCTGCTTCAGGTTTGAGTTTAGAATTGCAAAAAAAAAAATTTACATACAGCGACAACTTAATAAATAATCTTAAACTCACATTGTGACAAAACAGCCTTGAAACATACAAAACTGAGATTAAAATTTCCCAGAAGTTGCAGCTTATTTACTAGTCATTAATAAATGATCTGTAAATTCTTACAGAAATTCTTTCTAATTTTGAGGACTCGAAGCTCTCAAACTCAAGCATATGTTTAGCTTGAGGGTCTTGACACATCTTATCTAAGTCAGTAGGAGTTATCCCTTGCATAAAGGGAACTGTGCTTATACCTCTCTAAGACTGCAGTCTGTCAGTACTCACCACAAGCACATGGTGATTGGCTTTCAGGAGCTTTGGGAGTGCAAGTACAGTCATCTTTTCATTATCTGGCCTAATTGGGGGCTGGGATGCTCTTAGTGTACCAACACTGGTTGACATGAGTACCAAGGAATTTGTTGCAGAAGTACCCAGAGCAGGGTAGCGTACAGTCCATATCATCAGCGTCTGGACTTCAGCAGCTGTTTGGATTTTTCTGCTTTGTGCACTTACATTCTAGATGCAGGGAGGGTTATTTGCTGGACTTTTCTAAATTTATGTGGCGGTATGCCTGACAGGGTCAGCAGGTGTGACATTAAGACAGCTACCTTTTTCCTTGCTCCATCCTGAATTCAGCAGGTCTAAACCAGGTGAAAGCTGCTGTACTGTTGCTGGAAGCTGTAATGCTGACAAACTTGCATGATGCTGACAGTTTGCATTGCACATGTGTCTCTGTGTGGCAAAGTTAACAGTAGTCTGCTTAACTGGGGGATGCCTGCAATGTAGTAATTGTTAAAAATAGTAATAATAATGAAAAAAAATTAGCTGATTTTTGCTTAATAATTGGGTTCTAATGAAATGGGAAGGAACGCTTTGAATCACAGCTGAGAAAATTGTAGCAGAGATGATGTTACTGTTTTTTCAAGATGCAACTGTTGTTTAAAACTGTGTGACTTCTAGCAGATTAATAACATAAACTGACTTGTGCATACAGTTTTGCCCTCTACAGATAACATACTGTTGACATAATAGTGTTAACCACATAATTTCTATAGATGCTTTTAATGCCTTAAAATCTGTCCAGTGTTTATTTTCTGTATTCGCTTTTGTTAAACCTCACACCTAATGGAACTATTGAGTTTCTGTTAAAGCTTGACCTCTGGCTTTTTTTTCCTCTTTGCAGGTATTTGTGGAAACACTAGACAAATGTTTTGAAAATGTCTGTGAACTGGATTTAATTTTCCATGTAGACAAGGTACTGTGATGATCTCCTGTAATACTTCTTGTCAAGTAAAATGTTTGGTTCAACTGATACTTGGTATCAAACTCTGCAGTGATGCTACTTTTATTGTCACTGAAATCTGGACAGTTTCTATCAATGTATTATTTTTAAGACTTGAAAGCTGTGGTGGAACATGTCTTTCTGAGGAAAAATGAAATAATGTGGGAGATTTGCATAGTGTTATTGCACATATAATTGTCAAATTGGAGACATCTGAATATTCCCAGAATAGGACTTAGTTTCAAAAAATAATTTGATCTATTTTGTTTATGCTTAGGTGTTACACTACTCAGAACTGAAATCTTTACAGGGTTTTCCAGTTAAGGCTGGCAGTTGCCTTTCAAATGCTATGATTATATAATTTAAGTGCTGTGTGGATCTTTCTCTTCTAAATCTCAAACAGACATCATGTCTTTTTTCAAATATTTAGAAATAATCTTGTTTGATTATTCCCGGCTATCAGGAACAAGTGTTTTATTTATTAATCTAGTTTTGAGAAATACTGTTACTATAGTAATCTTTCATTTAAAAGGACATTGGCACCTCTTGGTGTAACATCTAAAATGCTGAGAATTGAATATATAGAATTTATTCCTTCAGTTGCGTTTTGTGCCTACTATTGCTTTCTATGCAGTCACCTTTCCCCATCAGTGAACATCTTCTTGCATCAACAGTAAAAGACGTGAAAGGAAAATAAGGCAAAAATCACTAAAAGTGGACTATAAATAGTTACAAGTTAAGTACCTGAAATAACCATTTGGAACTGACTCAGTTTGTTTCAAAATCAGGAAGTTCTTTTGGAAGAAACACTTGTACCTTGACCAGACAGTGAAATGCAAATGGCCCTGAGTAGGTGTTTGAACCGATACCATGCTCATGACAAGTCATTAGGATTTCTAGCCTGGCTGGAACGTGTTGGCTGTTTCCAAAATGGCAGATTAAAGTACAAAAGAATTTATGAGTGGTTTATATATTGGCTTCTGAGCTTAAAGAACCCAAATACTGCAATCGTTTTCTGGCAAGGAGTTTGATCTTTATCTTTAGCTGCAGAATACTTTGGCTGCTATTCAGTCCAAGCTGTTGCTCTGTAGCATGTTTCATTCAGTAGCATTCCTTAACATAAGTAGTCTTTTACACTATATAGGAGAAACATCTTTCTAATAAAATGTAGAGAACTTACATGCTTCAAAATGTTAAATTTCTTGAAGAATATTTTGCTTTGTATTGGATATGAGATGATATTTTCTTCTTGAAATCTATTTGTCAAAGGGAAGCTAAAATTTGTTTCATTTGGTTTTCTAAAAGACTGCATGAGAATCCCATTAAGTGTTTAGGCTAGAATTTTCAAACTCTGAGGAAAATGTGAACCCTAGATATTAATTAGATATTTTAGCAAAAGTCACCCATTTCCAAAATAAAAGATCAATGAAACCTTGAGTTAAAATTTTTTTGAACATGGCATTAACCAGTGCAGTGATTTTTAACTTGAGCATAAGTCGGCAAAAGAATACAACATAGAAAGCTGAACTTCTGCAGTAATGCAAGTCTACTACCAGCAATACAGTAGCATTAGTTGTGTAGTTGTGACTAATCTGATGTCATCTCCATTCTTTTTTTTTTTTCCCCTCTCAAGTGTAATTGGCTTTTAAGACTTACTTTATACCTTAACATAGTATCAAAACATTTGCTTCGATACAGTTTAAGTTCATTAGTATTCTTGTAGTTCTGTAACGAAAGAAAACCAGGAAGATGTATCAGTAGAATGAAGTTACAGCATTAAATTCTCTTTAAACTGCTGATAAGGTCACCTTGTCAGGAAGCAAGATGCATTGAGTCTTCTGAGCTACAACACATTAACTTTCTCTTGTCAGGTATTAACAACCTGGATTGTTAATAGGTTTCAAGTGTGCAGTAGGGAAAAACAGCAACTGCTGCTGGTTGTTTGGTCTAGACATAGTCTTAGTTGTAGTGTGTACTTACATGTGGAAGCTGTTTGGGGTGAAACATTTCAAATATTTGTATTTGAGTGTCTGGTGTTGAGAAAAGTGGGGATTGACTAATTGATTTGGGTGAGAGTTGATCTGTGTCTTAGTTCTTGATGCAGCTGTGGAAGGTGACTTTTCTCCAATCCTCTTGCTAGAACTGCCTAAAAAACAAGAAATACTTTACCTGTAAAAAATTATGTAGCATGTAAAAGAGTTAAATTATGTAATCTCAACAGCTGTTGCCTCTTTAGTAGCATTTTATGTGGCATTTCTATAAGGAAACATTTACCTTCATCAGGCAGCCATCATTATACAGGACTCAGTGATGGCTTATAGTAACCTGGAGCCAGGAGAGATGCTTCTTCAAGAATAATATTGGTACAGTACTAGAAATTCATTTGGGGAATGGAATATAGGTGGGAATGAGATAGTGATTTTTATGTGCTGTAGCAGATGAGGACTTGGGGTGTAGGGGAGTGTGGTTTGTACAGAAGAAAATTGGGATTCTCTTTTACAGATCAGCTGTATTAAAAACAAACAAACAAACAAACTTGCCATATCTGGAGCAAAACGTTTTGCAGAGGAGGAAGTTTATTTCAGTCCTGTACTGATTCGTAGTCTGAGTCCAGGAGTGTAATGCTCTCTGATGGAGAAGACGTCACAGAAAGCTATCGTAAGCATCTTTTACAACTGTAATACTAGAATACATTCAGTTAGGGATGTAAGGAAATACTTTTATTTTTCCACAAGTTTTTGGCACCTATTGAAATATCCCTGGGAGTATCATGATCTCTTCCAAGAGTTTATTATCTGACCAGTGAAACTTCCAGAATCAGATTGCAGCTTGAAGACAAGAAAATGTGGTTGCCACATTTTCCTGGGAAAGTTTTTTCTTGATGTGTTCCTTCTCCACATTTGTTAAAGCACGCATTCATGCTTTTAGACAGTGCATGGAACAGAAGTAGGAAGCACACTTGATTTTTGTAAAAACACCTCAAAATTATTATTACAAAATGGCAACTTCAGATTTTGAAAAGTTGATGTTCTCAACAGTCTGATCTCTTTTAGAATATAAGTGTAAGAGGTGTATTCGTGTGCCTTCAGTCTTTCACTTAAACACTATTTTGAATACACTGTTGAAGTATTCAGAAAATTTTTTGTTTCTTTAGGAAAATAATTAGTGAAATTTTTAATTAGGAAAAGTAGAGAAAATAATGTGTATTTGTTAATTTAATATGTATTTGCAATGAAAAAGAAAGAAAAAAATAGTTCAAAATGTATGTCTTACTACTGCTCATATCTGGGCAAACTTACTAGCACTGTTTTATAGTGTATTTAAGAGAAGGGAGTAAATAGTTTGCAATATTTACATAATATTATTGGTCATAGTCATGATTTCCTTTCATTACAGATTAACAAGTAAAATTAATTGTATTCTGTTATTTAGAAGATCATCCCTTTAGAAGAAAAATGGGGCAAGACAAAAAAAATGGTTAAGCTACTGCATCAATCCATGCTTTATAAACATTTTAAAATACTCTGTGTTAGACTTGCATATTGTGTACTAGAAGTAGGAAGAAAATACAGAGAAAGGTAAGAACCATGATCCAAGGTGTGGAACAGCTTGCATGGAAGAAGTAGTTAAATATTCAAGATACTGGAGAGAAGTAAGAAGCATATAAAAAAACATGTTGAAGGACCTGAAGAAAACGAACAGCTGTGTTTCTCAGAAATAAAGAACAGTGGGATATCATGTAAAATTTCAGGAAGTAAGTTTGAAACAAAGAAAATGTATTTTTCATGATTGATAATTAAATTATGGAATGCCATTGTCCCATTTTATCATAGATACCAAGAATATTATAAATAGGTTCAAAAGTTATTAGACGTATTAACCAAAGGAAAATCGGACAGGGGCTATAAAATACAGTAATATAGCAAGAAACAGCAAACAATCTGTGTTTCAGGAATCCTAAAGTTGGAGGTATTTGGAAGCGGAGAATTTATATCAGGATAAATAGTACTCTTAAGATTTCTTGCATAATTTTAAGTGTCAACTGGTGAATTTTTGAAACCAGATCATGAACTAGGTGGATTTTGCCTCTGACTTAATGAAGTTTTTTAGGCATGCTTGAGTATAAGTAGAAATTTTAACTTTCATGTTTTTTAAAGCAACTTGCATGATGGAAAGGTAAATGATATGATGTATATCTTCTGTAACATGAAACACTGAACACAAAATACCAAAACAACTGCTCAGTAGTAATTCATGGTGCTTTAATTTGTACTGTATACTTACTGGAGGACTTTCTGAGAGCAAAATGGTAATAAAGCAATCCTTTAAAACGCCAACAGCTAGAGTAATGAAATAGTTTCTTTATGACTAAAAAGATTAAGGAAGGTATTTTCTAATGTTTTCATGCAGAATAGTAAGACTTCGTCTGTGGACTAGTGTGCTTTAGAAAAAAAAATATATATCCCTACTGTTCTTTCTGTCTGTAAAGCTTACTGTGATATTTGTAAATCTGCATATACAGTCTCGATTATGAGCAATTTTTTTTGTGAGAAGCTGTATTCAGAATTGTATTCATCCTCCTTCATCACTTCATCCATCATAATAAGGATAATGGCAATAACAGCCAAAGGCTGGATATTAATGCCAGTCATACAAGTATACTGTTGTTCTGTACAGTTATGGCATCAGTGCTACAGCTGGCCAGAAACCTGAAGTTTGCCTTCTGCCCTTTTTTATCTGCAGACAGTGCTCCCTTGTCAATTACTTCTTAATGTGTAGCTTGCTGGCTTGTTGCAGACTTCTTTCATAACTTACACCAAGGGCAATTGATGCCTTGATGAGATGCATTCTTTGAACCTGGAAACCAAATTCTTTCTCTAGGTATCGTGCAGTGGTTGCCGTGTTTCCTTGTTGTGGTTGGGCTACAACCTTACTTTTATAATCAGAGGTCTATGTGCTCAAGAAGCCTTTTTAAAATTATTTTTAATTTGTGAAATAATAAACAGTTCACCTTCTTTGTTCTTAGAATCATAGAATAATTTACACTGGAAGAGACCTCGGAAGGCTATGCGATCTAGTTCCTCTGCTCAAGCTTGGCCACTTCTTAAATCTATGTCTGTCTTCATATTATACAAATGCATCGGATAGGTCATACCATAGATTTGTTCCCTGAACTGTCATACACAATGTGCTCTAACTGAAGACCTTGCACCACTACTGTTCTAAGGTAATGTTACCAACTGGGCCTCTTACTGGCATCTATTAAGCAATATCTCTGTATCTTCTACCAGGTTGGCAAAAAAACCGAAGCAAAACCAACCAAACAAACAAAACCCCCAAAACCAAACCCAGTCCATAGGCATTTGTTCATGCTTTCAGTATTTTAAAACCATATGCAAAGATGCTACTGCATGTGCTGTGAACTCATAGTTGAAGGCATGTGTCATTAAGTAATGTATTCAGTGAACTCTTAGTATCTCTTTCAATCCAAGTAATGATAGAGAACATTAGTATTGATGATACTGTTTTCTAAAACTTTTGGAGGTTTGTTTGGACACCTGTATAACTGCCTGTGATCCTTCTACAGTTATTCTTTAAAGCATTTACTACACTTGAGAAGTAGTAGGTGTTAGTATGTTCCTGAGCAATTTCATAATCTGGCTTTTATGAAGTTGGCTGATGCAAAACCATTGTATGTAGAAATGCAATGAATTGGTCTTTCCTAATTTCGTATATATGTATACATGATTTTTTTTTTCTTTTCATATATACATGTATATATACAGACACTTGTGGTACAATTAATATTGCTGACATACGCATTACACTTAAATTGTCCCTAATTCTCTGCATCTAGCTTTTTCCAGAAATTTGGATTTCCTATCTATAATGGATAGAGCAAGTTTCTGGCTCTGAAGCATTTGTTTTTACCAGTGAAACTCTCTTCACATCATGAAGCACCATGTTTTTGCCATAAAATCATAAGATAATTAAATTCTAGAGCTCGGGAAGTGCCTGGAGCAAGGCGCTGCTCCCAGCAGGGTCAGCCATGGGGTCCGACCAGGCTGCTCAGAGAGGGAGGGAACCTGTACAGCCCCTGGGCAGCCTGTGCCACCGCTCGCCTGTCCTTTTGGGGAAAGGTTTCCTTATGGCCAGTTTCAGCCTCCCCTGTCCCTTGCCCTCCTGCCATGCCCCGCTGAGAAGAGCCCAGCTCCCCGACAGCCCCTCATAGGCACTGCGGCTGCTGTTTGATGTCCCCAAGCCCCATCTTGGCCAAGCTGAACCAGCCCTGGTGCTCCAGCTTCCATGCACTGGACAAATCCACTAGCCCCAACAATTTCGGTGGCCCTCTGCTGAACTCACACCAATTTATTGATGTCTTTCTTGCACTTGTAGGCCCCAAACTGTACACAGTGTTCTAGATGTAGTCTAATACATTATATATTTACCATGTCAGCAGCACTCTAGAGGAAGAAATTATCTCGGTTATGAGTGGCGTTAACAGGACTGTAATTGCTTATCTTTACCTATTGAGGGGGAAAAATAGCTACCAAAAGTGGCATAATTTAATTACATTTCTTTTTAAATGCATGTTGTAATCTATTTCAGAGAATCCAGAACACTTGTGAAAACCTAATCAGATGCTGAATCTCTTCAGTCATTTTGGTGTAGGTTTCATATGGAGTTCAGCCTGTTATCTTAGAGCTTTAATGTCTCAGTATTTCATATCAGTAAGCTGTTAGAAAGAGATTACCTGAGAGAAGACGTCTTTTTTTTGTGTGTGTAAAAACATCACTCAATATTTTTTGTTTTATTTTGAAATAGAAATGAGTAATCTGTAAAGATCAAGACCTGCTCTTTTGCATTCTTTTGTTCTGTCCTATTAGACTTCCATGGCTTGTTCTGTGAAATTCTCTGCTGAATACGAGCAAAGTAAGCAGAAATTTACTGAGATGTCATTTCTTGCCTCTTCAGTCAGAAATACATATGAATTATTCCTCTGCTTTAAAAGAAGGGCCAAGCCCTAGAACTTAACAAAGTTTTCAAGAATGTTAAGAGGAAATGGAATTAAATTCCTTTTCTTCTCCAGGATGTAGGCTGGAATTTAGTCTCTCATGTACTTATCAATGCAGTTTCAGGTATCCTTCAACAAAATATGTATTCTTCAACAATGGAAATATTCTTTTGACTTTAAAGTGAATAGTTTCTGAATTTTGGGGCTATTAGTTGAGGCTAAAGTTACAGCTGGAATTTGTTCCTTGACATCACCAGCTCTGCCAAAAAGAGAAAAATGAGAAATACTCCCCTAAAATCTGGAGGTGATGACTGCAGTTGCTGTTTTGGAGCCAGGTGCATTTTTAAAAAGAAAATAATACCCAAATCTATGATCTGCAGTAGCAAGTGATGGAATTTGCACTGTTATGCTGTATTTTTATTGAGAGATGGAACAGAACCACTTCATAGTACACGCTCAGATTAGATAAGACTAGCCAGAAAATTTTCCACTTGGGTAGGGAGACATGAATTATTTATTAGTCCTACCATAAGTCTGTATAATGCCCATTCAGCAACTAGAAAAGAAAAAAAACCCTGGATTTCATAGCGTGTGAAAAATACTTGCTTAGTAAATTTTTGATAAAATAAAGTATAACAAAAATCGCCAGAGAAATACTGTATGATGAAGACCTTTGTAGTTTCTAAGTTTTGTTTTTGGTGGCTATGGATATTGTAATAGCTAGTCTTTCTATATTCTGGGGAGAATCCCACATGGCTTAAAAGTTATGGAGGGTTATAGTCAAGAAGGCCGGGTAAACCTGTGCAGAAGCTTAAAAATATCACTGATCTTGGAATGGAGTGTGATTGTGATTGAAGCTGCAAATCTGTCTACTTCTAAAGTACATCTCTTCTACCATCTCCTCCCTAAGGAATTATCAAACCTAGTGTTGTGTTGATTGGCTTAAACTCTGCTTGTATAACATCCTCAGCGAGACCTCTTTAAAGTGGCAATCTTTGTGACCATCACCAGTGGTAGAGATGTGTTGTCTTCTAAATGCTGTTAGTGGTTATTGTTAATTTTTTGGTTAAGGAAAAAAACATGCCGTTTTTGTGTATATTTTAATATTCTTTTTTTATAATAGTTTCCATATTAACATCTTTGGTATTTTCTTTTTGATACTAAAACATCTTAAGTCAACTTTTTGCATCATCCTTATATTATCAAGCCTTCCATATGAGTAAAGTTGAGAATTGCCTGAAAAATTAGTATATAACAGAATATTACTCTTCCTGTAACATCACCAGACATGCCTTCTGAGCCAAAATACTACTAGTACATCTTAGCTAAGTCTGTGATTGATTCTTACTGATGAGAGTTGATTCTGTTGAATACATTGTATCTTTCATCAGGTGGCTGTGAAATAATTCTTTGCAAATTTGTAACCAAATTCAAGTTTATCTAAGTTTTTTTGGTTTAGTATTTTAGGTAGCCCATACAGTGTATTTATTAACTCCTGTTTGTGTACAGCTATAAACTATTTCCTTATGCTATGAATGAAAATAAGTTTTCAGTAAAAAGAATATTGGTGACATCTTTCAATGCATTTGGATTGTCAGTGTAGAGTAAATTAATGTTAGATTACCACGTTTTAATCTTTTTTTCTGATTGTGATGCTAAAAAGCTTTTGAATTCACCTAATAACAAGCTGGGAGAATTAATTCTTTGGCACTACTTTTATATTACACTTTTTAGCTTGGAATGTTACGAGGGACATATATATGCCAGGAGTAAGAGAGTGGCTCAGTAAGGGTTGTTTATCATAAGTATTTGATTCTTAAAGCTTTGCTTAGCAGCAATAGGCAGAGAGGAAGAGCTGTTTTCAGTCTCTCTAAACACATTCATTGTAAGTTTCTACTGAAATATACTAATGATTTATCAGTAAAACAACTCTCCAATTTTGTTTTTGAGGTATGGCACAAAAACAGGAAGTGTGGTGGTTTTTGATATACTACTTGCAACTCATCTTTAGAATTGTTTGATTTAGAGAATTACTTCTATCCTTGATCCACAGGGAAATTGCAAGAATATCCAAAATGATAGCAGAATTATGCTTTGAAGTATCAGATTGTATAATGTGTTTATTTCAGAAAAGTAATAAAATGTTTCTTGTCTTTAGAATTATAACGGGATTAAAATATTATACGTTACATAGTAACTCTGGATTTTTACTAGGAAGTATGTGGAAGCATGCCTTTTTAAACAAAAGTTAATCTTTATGTAAAGTGCAAGTACAGACTCTGAAGCAGAGATTCATGAACCAGGGCTCGCATCCCCAAATCAGGATTGCAAGGAAGAGGGATATTTAGACATAACTCTTTCATTAATGTCCCCAGCTGGCTTATGTAGTCCTTCAGTTTGAGTCCTAGCTGTCAATCTTAGTCCTAGATGCTGAAGACTCCCTGTTTATGGTGTAGTTCAGGTATGGGTTGGCTCAGGTATGTTAATTCTACTGCTAAGCGTAGTCTTGGTACCCATGGTGGGTGAGCATCACGATGTCTCTCTTCCTTCATATATGTAGCCCAATGTAGTTTTTATACATCTATTTGTGAGCAATTTGTTTAATCTTGTAGAACCTGCTCTTTAGAGGTATTACTATTGATGCTAATTAGAACTCTTGTCCATAGTCCTTGGATAGAAAACAGGTACTGAAAGAAAGATGAATGTGAAAGTTTCTTCTAGCGAAGTGGTATAGCTGATGAGTTTGTAACAGAACTATGAGCAAAGAAGATACTGGAGAAATGAACGTCAAGTTATGAGCTTTGTTCCCAAATGGTTTTAAATAAATTGCTAACATTAATTAAGTGACTTAAAGAATATATGGGTTCCTGTGTTGAGGAATCTAGATGTCATCTGTTGGGATGCATGTAGGACATTTTGCATTTTTAAATTTTATTTTGGTCTTTTTTAGGTCCATAATATATTGGCCGAAATGGTCATGGGTGGAATGGTTTTGGAGACCAACATGAATGAAATTGTCACTCAGATTGATGCTCAAAATAAACTGGAGAAATCTGAGGTAAGAGTGATGCACTGTGTAGTTTCTAAGCTAAAAACGTGGTTGTAGTAAATGTATGCTATGTAATCCTGTTTGTCCTTCAATAGCAAACTATATACAGCTGCTTGCTTATAATGCTAAAAATTGACAATGTATCGTTAGGTTAGGATGTCATACCTTTCATCATAAGTAATAATTGCTTAGAGTCGCTGCTGATTAGTTGTTGCTGTTTGTATCTAATAGCATTGTGCACCTTTGCTATTAAGATACTTCTGTAGTTCTCTAAGTTTCTCTTGCAGAAAGCATTTTATTTTCAGTGTATTTATTACGCTGGACTAGTGACTATAACACTTAAATGAAATTAAATAAGAAGAACCAAAGTGTATGTACAAAGACTACATATTCCTGTCTGCTAGTATGTTTCTAGCACCTGAAATAAATGGCAGCATATTTAGTGTCACAATAATAACTGCAACACAAAATGATAAATTGGACTGAAATGGACTAGATAGAATTTAAAGCCCAGTTTTAGACCTTTAAAGTAAATAGGAATTCTGCCATTGTGGTAATGTGAACATTTGGTCTTCAGTTGAGTAGATTCGAGTCAGAAAATAATATTCTGTATATGCCTGTAACAGTCTGAGCAAGGGACACTCACGTAAGTTGTGGGAATCCCTTTTCAATTCAACGATTGTTGAATTTGTGTTTAGGAAAGAAACTTAGACTAAGAAAGGATTTTAGAATTACTTTAGCTATGACACAGAATATTACTGTTCCTTTAACATCACCAGACATGCCTTCTGAGCCAAAATACTGCTAGTACATCTTAGCTAAGTCTGTGGTTGATTCTTATTGATGAGAGTAATTCCACAGAAGAACACATCATGTGATTTTCGAAGCATAATATTCAAATTTCTAAACAAAACTTTGCTTGAATTGGAGACTATTTGTAAAGTTGAAGTCATCTGAGTAGACTGAAATATTGCAGGTGGCATAAATATGAACTAAATGACATTTAAGGAGAAGACCCAGAGAACTTCCTAGTTTTAACTGAAGTGCAACAAAGAGAGAAATGAATTCTTCAGCTTTTTTGTGGTACAATGTATACTGTTCTCCTAATTCTGCAATCTCGCACTGCACCACCTCAGGTCTTTTAATACATTTAATTGTCTGTTTTGCACAACTTCCCAAACTGTATCCAAGAACAGGACAACACTGTGTGAAAAACAGGAAAAAGCTAGGTATGATATGATACAGTGCATAGCAATATACCTCCAGAAGGATTGTATTGTAGATTATGATGATGTCCAAAATGTTAATTTTAACATTTTTCTTAAACTCGGAATGGGCCATTGATCACAGAGATGAATATTTGGAATTATTCTCATAAGTTTTTACTATATTTGAATAACTTCTGTATACGTACATTTTTCTTTATTTGATGGAAAGTAACATAGTGTCCCAAAAGCTGAACTTACTGAGCAGCTATGTTCTACCATGTATTATGCACATATCAGTTTTACATAAAAGCTTTTAATTAAGGTATTTATTCTTAATTATGTGAATTCCGTTACCAAATCAACTGTAGAAGTGTCTCTGACTAATCATCTGAAACACATCGATTCAGTGCAGCCAGATGCAATACTTGCTGTTTTCCATTATTCATCAGTAAGTCATTCTTTCTTTCAAGATGCTTTTAGTATAAAAATAGTTGTAGAAGATATAAAAAACCATGTAGAGCTCAGAGCATATGCAAGGCAAATAGCAATTTGTTCTTTTACATTCAGCAATGAATTATGGAAGGTAAAGAAGTAGCAGTGATAAATTGAAACACTTGGTGACTGGGATGGAGTAGAACATTTCACAGTCTGCTCACCACAAATGCTTTTTTTTTTGTTAGTTCAGTGACTGTTTCTTTTCAAATTTAACAGTTACTGTAATGCTGAGATACTTCACAATACCTGGTAACTATTTTCTCAGATCATTAATCATTTGTTTCATGTATATCCACAGAAATTTCCTGATTGCTATTTCTTTTCCTTTTGTCTTTTTGATCAAGATTGTAAATCTTTCAACATGTCTTTCCTGAACGTGTATTTTCAAGATAAAAGCAAATCCAGTTCATGTAAATCAAAATCAGTAATAACTTAATAATATTTTTGAATGCTGGTCACTAAGAAATCAAAACTAGTGGATCTTCTTTGTTTTCTTTAATTAAAAAAAATTAAATTCTTTTTAGAATTCAGATATTGTTATTGATATAGTCTGTAGTTCATAGGACTGCCACCTATGCCACAGCACTCTTGCTTTAATCTGTTTGGCTTGTTAGACCTCAGTCATAGTTCTTGCATCCATAAAATAGCTGCTTTAAGGTTGAATTACCATTTTTTTAATAGCTGAAATGATGAAACTAATGAAGTTTTAACTGAGCTACATTTTCTGAAATATTTTAAATTTTGTAATTGTCACACCTGGCTTCCCTTAATACACAAAATTTAGCCATTTGATGTCAGGTATTTGTTTGGTTATGTATTAGGTTTCTAAACAGGCTTTCAGTTAGAATTAGTGAAGAAAATCGAAAGTATTTATTAAATTCACAAATACTTGAGCAAGTTATCAACTCAAACAATTTGTTAATGCTTTCAACAGAGATTAATTGTTTAAACCACTATGAGGGAGTCCCTAGCTTTGATTTCTGATTCAGCTCTTACATTGCTTGGATGGGCTACGAAGGAAATTCTATTTCTACGCTGAGAAATGTTGTCTTAAATGCATTTCCCTACCTTTCAGTTTAGTGTTTATCTGTGAATGGATTTCTGGTCAGTCCTCCTAAAGCCAAAAGATCATTGTGATTAAGGGAGGGAATTTTTGGGAGAGGGGTCATTGGGATTTTATCCAGAGCCTCTGGAAGTATTGTAGGTAAATCTGGGCTACCTCTTCTCTATTTGGAGTGTTCAACTGCGTGTGATTTAGTCTTTTAAGTTGGACCTCATTTTTTCTGAACCTCCTGATCTTTTCTAGCTCTTTCCATTCTTCTCTCTTACAGACCTTTATCTTTCAGTCTCCCAGACAGGACAGGTAGACAAAGGTATTGCTGACTTTTAGAAAAAATGTACTTTTAACAAAAAGGGAAAGCAAAATGATGTCAAAGGCAATAAATTACGTAGGCCAGACTCAAAAATTACGTGTAAAAATACCCATACTAGTCCTTGTAGCCTACTTTTTGTGCTAGTTCCTTCTTGTAGTTCCCTCATCTTTTTATTGGCTATAGTGTATTTTACTAGCTTTCCATCGACATCATATTTTTTATTTTATTTCTCTTCCTGCATTTTAGAATTTAACTTTTCTTTGTATCATTGTTTAAGAAACAAAGGAATATGAACTTCTATGAATATTAATAAAAAAACTGCAAAACTAATCTGAGTAAAAATTGAACACACAGATAACAAAATACGATATGATGACATGATAGAAATAGCTTCCTTATTGGGAGAATTTTGTACCTGATAATCTAAAACAGATAATATGAACTCTTTTGCTTCACCATTTAGTATTTCCAAATGAAAAGAAAGAACTTTTACCTGCTTGCAAATAGAAGTTTCAGAATAAGTTTCAGGTGAACAAAACTTTAAAAAATAAAACCAACCAAAACCAACAAACCCACAAACTCAAATAGTTTTATAGATACAGAATAAAATTATCAGTGTCATTTGTAAAGATGATGTAGAAACATCAGAGCTGTTTGTCCTGGTTCCGGCTGGGACAGA